TTCTTAAGCTGGAAAAGTGTTAACAAAAATGTTTTCTTGGATTTTGCTCCAATTAGGGTCGAACAAGAGGTGTGGCAGTTTACCGCCGGATACGACTCTCCTGGGTGTCTCAGTGGGCCTGCCAGCATTATCGTCTTACAAAAAAAGCTTTTTAGTTGAAGTGGCCTTTCCGTATGACAGCTATACCATTAGATGCGTTTTTGAATGCAAATTCCAAATTTGCTTTCCTTTTCTGCGGAACAGCTTGAAAGAGAAAAACGGAACTCAAAGATGATATGTTCACGCAGGTAACGACGGACAGTAGTTGTTTTCTATCCACCATTGCGTGTATTGAGACCTTTGCCATTTTGGTAATGCTCCAAATTAAAGCAAAGCTCGTAATGCTATGGTTTAGTTACGCTGTATACAGGGTGTCCCAAAAATGTAGCTACTGTTTGACTGTTTGACAGTCTTCATTCGTGCTAATTTCACTACATAACTTCTTGCGTGTTGGCAGAGTCTTTGAATTGCCTTATCAAATTTTTGACGAATACCAGAAAATTAGTTGTTGCGGTATATCTGGCACAACTTATACGAAAAGCGTTATGTTGAAGAGCAAATTTTACGTTTGAAATCAGCAGCTTCGATAACCTAGTGTAGGATTTTGCAGCTCCTTTGGCCTTTTTTAGCGGTCAAATATGACTCTCAATAACGCGAAACCCTCCTCAAAATTCCTACTGTGAACTTACAGTAATGAAGAGAGAACGGTAACTTAGCAATATGAGTTCTAAATTGAAACCAGCTCTACAAAATACAGTTGCAGCGGTAGAATTTGTCCAAAACTGCGGGATTGTCGGGATTCGCGGGATTGTCGGGATTCGCGGGATTCGCGGGATTCGCGACTTCACGGGATTTGCGGGATTCGCGGGATTTGCGGGATAAGCGGGATTTAGCTATAACTTCTTTCAAAACATCTTTATTTGTATCTTGCAAAAAGATTTGGCTTCAGCTTGATGAGACGAATCTTCTGGTATACAATATGTCCGCAGTTCATAGTGACACGGTAGACATATGGTGATACCTTGTTATTTTCTATGTTAAGGCTTTTGTGAAACATCTAACACAGTGTAAATCGCGAATAGGAGGTTCTGGTACGAAGTTATCATTATCGAAAACTATCGCGAAAAATTGGGCAGTTTTTATTTACCCTTATCACCGATATAAGCATTTTATCATTTATCACTGATAATATCACATTTTTGGATCATTTTTGGCATATGGTAAGAAAAGTATTGTAGGAAACGCTGTGCAAATTTCTATCGCTCTTTCTCTCAGTATAAGTGATCTACAGGATTTCCTATTTCTATTGTTCGGTCAATTGGTAGATCCCTCGCTGCAGCAATCGATCGATTTCTCATCGGCACATGCCATTGCTGCCAATTCTTACCTAAAATGGCATTTTTGCTTCAACTCGCTTCACGCCGAAGCTTGAGCTGAAATTCTGCACCTATGTTGAAGATGAACGTGGGAATCGACCGCATGAATTTAAGCCATTCTTATATGTCGTTGTCATTGATATCATCATTTTATCATTTATCACTGATGATATCACAAAATTGGATTATTTTTGACATACTACAAGAAAGGTACTTTAAAAACGCTGAGTTTTTATCGCTCTATCTCTTATAGAATGTGATCTACAGGCTTTTTCGGTTCAACTGCGCATTCGGTGCAGTAGATAGATCCCCAATCGATGCAACAATCGATTGATTGCTCATCATGCGCATGACGCCGTCTCCTTGGAGACGTTGCTTTTTCAGAAAAATTCACCGCTCTATGAATTGTGAATGAACGGTCGCCCGTCAACAGGAGTTTCAAAGATGAGCTGAACACTTCTGTTTCCTGCGTATGACATACAAATCCAGATCCACGAAGGCGATCGGTCTAAGATGCGAAGCGGCGCAAACGGCGTGCTCGAGCATCTTTCCATCAGAGTCCAGACCGCGAACGATGCGCGTACATAGGCTGTTGCCTCCGTATCGAAGTCTTTTTGAATTCTCACATGCTCTACTCTATTTCTTGCACAATAGCTCACAAAAATGCAGATGTAACGTTCTGCAAGTTTTGCGACATTCCGGGATCTCCGCTGAATCACGCAAACTACAGAACGCCATAACTCCATTTAGAATGAATAACTGCATCCATTTCCGTTTCCAGTTTTCTCAAATTCTTCCGCGGAGCTCTGTTTGCAAGGATGTAACGCAGCGCTTATCTAACATAAAAGATACTAGTAAAATATTCGATAGTACGGTTCTTGTAGATTATAGCGCACTAAAGTATAGCTGCAGATTTCTTTCCAGAAGAAACATAAGCCTTCGTGAATTCTGGAAAAATCATGCGTTATGAAATTCTATTTGTCATAACTTCCTTCGGAATGAATGTATTCTCGATCCGAAAAAAGCATTGTGCTCAGCTCGCCAAGGCGAATCTTTCGATATACAGCGTGCCCTTGATATTCCGATTTCAGTATTCGTGAATCTTTCTGCGGACGTCACTTTGCAAAGGTGTAAAGTAGCGCGCATTGCCCCTAGTAGACTATTGTAAGGACGATTCGGTAGTATCTCCCTTGCAGATTAATGACAGCTAAAAAGTCTCCGCAAACTTCGTTTGAAGGGAGATAGAAGGACTGGTGAATTGGGGAAAAATCTTGTCGCAGGAAACAGAAGTGTTCAGCTCATCTTTGAAACTCCTGTTGACGGGCGACCGTTCATTCACAATTCATAGAGCGGTGAATTTTTCTGAAAAAGCAACGTCTCCAAGGAGACGGCGTCATGCGCATGATGAGCAATCAATCGATTGTTGCATCGATTGGGGATCTATCTACTGCACCGAATGCGCAGTTGAACCGAAAAAGCCTGTAGATCACATTCTATAAGAGATAGAGCGATAAAAACTCAGCGTTTTTAAAGTACCTTTCTTGTAGTATGTCAAAAATAATCCAATTTTGTGATATCATCAGTGATAAATGATAAAATGATGATATCAATGACAACGACATATAAGAATGGCTTAAATTCATGCGGTCGATTCCCACGTTCATCTTCAACATAGGTGCAGAATTTCAGCTCAAGCTTCGGCGTGAAGCGAGTTGAAGCAAAAATGCCATTTTAGGTAAGAATTGGCAGCAATGGCATGTGCCGATGAGAAATCGATCGATTGCTGCAGCGAGGGATCTACCAATTGACCGAACAATAGAAATAGGAAATCCTGTAGATCACTTATACTGAGAGAAAGAGCGATAGAAATTTGCACAGCGTTTCCTACAATACTTTTCTTACCATATGCCAAAAATGATCCAAAAATGTGATATTATCAGTGATAAATGATAAAATGCTTATATCGGTGATAAGGGTAAATAAAAACTGCCCAATTTTTCGCGATAGTTTTCGATAATGATAACTTCGTACCAGAACCTCCTATTCGCGATTTACACTGTGTTAGATGTTTCACAAAAGCCTTAACATAGAAAATAACAAGGTATCACCATATGTCTACCGTGTCACTATGAACTGCGGACATATTGTATACCAGAAGATTCGTCTCATCAAGCTGAAGCCAAATCTTTTTGCAAGATACAAATAAAGATGTTTTGAAAGAAGTTATAGCTAAATCCCGCTTATCCCGCAAATCCCGCGAATCCCGCAAATCCCGTGAAGTCGCGAATCCCGCGAATCCCGCGAATCCCGACAATCCCGCGAATCCCGACAATCCCGCAGTTTTGGACAAATTCTACCGCTGCAACTGTATTTTGTAGAGCTGGTTTCAATTTAGAACTCATATTGCTAAGTTACCGTTCTCTCTTCATTACTGTAAGTTCACAGTAGGAATTTTGAGGAGGGTTTCGCGTTATTGAGAGTCATATTTGACCGCTAAAAAAGGCCAAAGGAGCTGCAAAATCCTACACTAGGTTATCGAAGCTGCTGATTTCAAACGTAAAATTTGCTCTTCAACATAACGCTTTTCGTATAAGTTGTGCCAGATATACCGCAACAACTAATTTTCTGGTATTCGTCAAAAATTTGATAAGGCAATTCAAAGACTCTGCCAACACGCAAGAAGTTATGTAGTGAAATTAGCACGAATGAAGACTGTCAAACAGTCAAACAGTAGCTACATTTTTGGGACACCCTGTATACAGCGTAACTAAACCATAGCATTACGAGCTTTGCTTTAATTTGGAGCATTACCAAAATGGCAAAGGTCTCAATACACGCAATG